GGTGGTTTTTTGTGTGTGTGAAATGGAAATACAACTAAAAATAATCTAGTGCAAGCTTTTTTCCGTTAAAGTTTATTGTTGTGATTTTAAACTATAAAAAAAAAAACACATTTAAAAAAATCTGGAAAATAGAACAAGAAAAAATGTCAAAGCTAAACTGATATAAACCACTGTTAGCTTTTTTTTGTATTTTCTACTTTTTCACCAGTTTTTTAAAAAGTTTTTTGTTTACAGCCTTCAAGACAATTTTTAATGATTTAGATTGAAGAAATGTGTTTCAGTTTATTTAACCATTTCTATATTATTGGCTATGTAGGTGGTTTTTAGTTTTATACTATCTTTAATAATTCTTAAATGAAAATCTGTATGTGTATAAGAGAAATATCTTTTTCCTACATAAGATTATTTTCATGAAAGTGACTCATAAGTGGAATTATTGAGTCAAAAGGTATAAATTTTTAGTGATTCTTGATACATATTGCCAGTTAGCTTTCCAAAATGGCCTAGGTCATTGCCCAAAGTTGTATATTAAATGTTTTTAAACTATTGCTAATTTGGGCAAAAATGGATGCCATCCTTTCTGTTACTAATTTTTGTGCTTACTATATACCAGGAACTGTGCTAAATGCATTATCATATTTAATATCACATTTTTGTTTTGCTTTGCATTTCTTTGATGATTAGTGAAGTTGAATATTTCCTAATACGTTTGTTTACTATTTATATTTACTTTTTTGTAAGAAAAGATAATTTGTTTATTTATCTATTATGGTGGTTTTAGTGTTCTAAAGTAAAAGGCTACTTTAAAACCTGTTCCTTTTTCCTCCCTGAAAATACAGTGACTCTTCAAACCTTACTAAGACAGTGTCAGCCTTTTAATGTCAGTATTTTTTTTTTTTTAAAACTCTGCTTGGGGATGCACATTTTATGTAACTCTTTGGCAAATTTCTGCTGTAATATTGCATTATATCTTAAGTAATGGGGTTTATTCTAAACTTGTAATTCAAAGGAATTGCATATATTTGCAACCGTCTTAGTTTCTGATGAGAATACTTAGTCAGTAGTTATTAAGAGACTGAATTTTGAGTATCTGTTACACTAATGTGGTTTAGGCTCAACTAGTAACCTAAAGTTGGTAGTTCGAACCCACTTAGGGATGCCGTGGAAGAAAGGCCTGGCAATCTGCTTCCATAAAGTTTACAGCCAAGAAAATCCTACAGAACAGATCTATTCTGTAACATGGGGTCACCATGAGTTGGTATCAACTTGACAACAGTGGGATTGGTTTTTGTTTGTTTGTTTTTGGTTGCACCAGTACAACTCATTGCTTCTATTCATTTTAGTATTGCTAAAAAATAGAAGTTCTTTAAGAAACTGAGTGTACTCTTATGAACATAAAACTTGAATAACGAACTCAGTCCAGTTTATAATTTTGGCTCTATTTTAATAGCTTTAGAATCCTTAGCAAATGATTTTGTGCACCTTCTAAGTTTGTTTGTCAACTGCGCCCTCCTCCTGCCTCCTGAGGTATTTTTGTAAGTGTGCTGTGCTAATTTTTTTACAGCAACATGTAAAAAAAAAAAAAATTGGCATAGTGGCAGTTAATGAAAATGCCTCGTGGGTGGGGGGCGTAGTTGGCAAACAAACGTAGAAGGTGTGCGTTATTTGTGTAAAAACACAGTAGGTGGGAACATATGATATTTGTCCTTTTGCGTCTGACTTTATTTTACTCAGCAAATGTTTTCAGGGTTCATCTATGTAGTAGCATGTATCAGAACTTCATTTCTTTTTATGGCTGTTTAATATTCCACTGTATGTATATACCACATTTTATTTATCCATTCATCAATTGATAGACGCTTGGGTTGTTTCCACCTTTTGGCTATTGTGAATAATGCTGCAGTGTACATTGGTGTACAAGTATCTGTTTGAGTCCCTGCTTTCGTTTCTTTAGGGTATAAACCCGAGAGCAGAATTAATGGCTCCTAGTGTAATCCTGTATTTTACTTTTACCATTTTACATTCTCACCGTCAATGCATGAAGGTTTTAATTTCTTCACATCCATGCCAACATTTGTTATTTTCTGTTGTTTTTTTATAATAGCCATCCTAATGGGTGTGAAGTGGTATCTGATTGTGGTTTTGCATCTCCCTGGTAACTAATGATGTTGAGCATCTTTTCGTGTTTATTGGTCATTTGTTTATCTTCCTGGGAAAAATGTCCAAGGTTTTTATCTAATTTTTTATTGTGTTGTTTGTCTTTTTATTGTTGAGTTGTAGGAGTCCTTTGTATATTGTGGATATTAAACCTTTGTCAGATATGTAGTTTCCAATTTTTTTTTCCTTCTGTAGACTGTTTTTTCACTTTCTTGATAATGTCTTTTCATTCACAAATGTTTTTTATTTTGATAAAGTTCAATTTATCTGTATTTTCTTTTGTTGCTTATGCTAAGAATATCTAAGAATCTGTTGCCAAATACAGGGTCTTGAAGATTTACCTCTATGTTTTCTTCTAAGAGTTTGATGGTTTTAGCTCTTACATTTTGGTCCTTGATCCATTTTGAGTTAATTTTTATGTGTAGTAGAAGTAGGGGTTCCTGCATATGAAGATCCAGTTGTCCTAGTACCATTTGTTGAAGAAACGATTCTTTCCACATTGAATGGAATTGGCCTCCTTTTCGAAAATCAATTAGCCATATACGTATGGGTTTATTTCTGGACTCTCAGTTCTATCCCATTGATCTGTATGTCTATCCTTTAATAGTATCACACTGTTTTGACCCCTGGAGTTTTTAGTTCATTTTGAATTTGGGAAGTGTGTTCCTCCTACTTAGTTATTTTTCAAGATTGTCTTGGCTATTTAGGGCTCTTTGCAGTTCCTTATGAATTAAAGGATTGACGTTTCCATTTCTGCAAAAAACGTTGTTGGAGTTTTGATAGGGATTGCATTGAATTTATAGATCACTTTGGATAGTATTAACATCTTAACAAAATAAAGTCTTCCAATCTATAAGCATGGAATGTCTTTCCATTTATTTAGGTCTCCTTTAATTTCTTTTAGCAGTGTTTTATAGTTTTCAGTGTACAAGTCTTTCACCTACTTGGTTAAATTTATACTCAGGTATTTTATTCTTTTAGATGCTATTGTAAATAGAATTGTTTTTCTGAATTTCCTTTTCAGGTTGTTCATTGCTGTGTATAGAAACACAAGTGATTTTTGTGTTTTGGTCTCGTACCCTGCATTTCACTGAATTCGTTTATTAGCTCTAGCAGCTTTCTTAGGGAATCTTTGGGATTTTCTGTATATAGAATCATAGTGTCTGTGTATAGTGATGGTTTTACTTCATTTTCAATTTGGATGCCTTTTATTTCTTGCCTAATTTTCTGGTTAGAACTTCTAGTACGATTTTAAATAGCACTGGTGAACGTGAGCATCTTTGTCTTGTTCCTGATCTATAACAACAACAAAAAACCCAAACCTGTTGCCATAGAGTTCTTGTTTGTGTGTGTGTGTGTGTGTGTGTGTGTGTGTGTGTGTGTCTAAGTAACAGGAATAAGCACTGGGTCTGGAGAGAACCAGTGTTAAAATTTTAAAAGGATTGTATTATTGTCATTGGTTGCTCATAGGTGTGTATATATACTATTGTCTGGGTATAGTAGTAGTAAGAGTTTAGACTGAAGTCAGTCGGCCTGGATTTAAACTCTGGCTTTTGTATTTATTTACTAGCCAGGTAACCTTACACAGGCTACTTAACCTCTCTGAGTCATTGTCCCCATCTGTAAAACTAGGTCAGTAATAATGGCCTAGTTTATAGGGTTTAACTGATGCTTAATTAAGATATAATATGTCAAGTGTTTAGCACAGTGACTGGCCCAAAAAGCATTAGCTAATGCTATTGATAACTGAGTGTTCTGTCACTACATCTTGTAGTAGTTACTAGTAGTAGATTACAGTAACCTGCCAGGTATGTTCTAAGTGAATATAATTCTGGAGATACTTCCCTTTATTTCAGTTATATAAACATGAGTAGACTGAATAGGATTTAGAAGGTTTGTCATTGAATTCAGAAATGAGATATCTTAATGAACCATTGAAAATGAATTAAATAGCACATTAGTTCTATCACTTTGCTCTCTGGTTAGTTATCCTCCCACGACATGTTTTTGAAGTGAAGTGTGTTTAAAAAGCAAAAAAAAAAAGTCATTTGACAAAGTTAAAATGAAAAAGGATAGTTTAGAAACATTTTTTTTCCTTGAAAATACAGTGTTAGTTCAAACCTGACTAAGAGAATGTAGAATATCAGCTTTTCATGCCAGTACTTGATGATGTGATATACAATACAGAATTAAAAATACTGAAGTTTACAAAAGAAATAATAAAATTTATAGTAGAGTTAATATAGCTGATAATGAGTTTAGTGAAATAAGAAATTTTACCTCTTTTTTAGTATGGTGTACTATAAAAATTTGAGAAATAATCTATCCCTTTTTTGGATAAATATTTCAGATTTGAGGGGAGGGTTTATTTGGAATTATTGTTTAAACAATATTTCAAATTTAATTAGGACTGATCCATGTGTATGGCTATTAGAGTAAAATCATAGATCTTTAAGATATTTAGATTATAAGATCTTATAATTCAAAGAAATAGTCTGTTTATTTTTTATAATAATAGCCATACTTATTAGGTGGTTACTGTGAGCTAGATACTTTACTAAATACTTAAAATACATTATTTAATTTTGTTGATAACACCCATACATTTGGTGCTATGTTAGTGCATTTTATTTACAACCGTTTCAAATAGTATGAAATCAGTTCTGTTCTTGTGTTGTAACCATTAGTGTTTTTGTTATACAAATATTGTGCTTAAGTATTATGTGGGACAGTTGATTGCATAATTTCTCTGATTTGGGGATATTTAAATATGTATTTTCATTTTCCCAGAGGTTAAGAATCTTAAGAATTACATTGATTGATAATTGTTTCCTTTGTTGCAGAATTGTAAAGTAAATGGGTCCAGTAATTGGAATGACACCAGATAAAAGAGCTGAAACCCCAGGAGCTGAAAAGTTTGCAGGGTTAAGCCAGATTTACAAAATGGGAAGCTTACCTGAAGCTGTGGATGCTGCCAGGCCAAAGGCCACCCTAGTGGACAGTGAGTCAGCAGATGATGAACTCACAAACTTGAACTGGCTTCATGAAAGTACTAATCTTCTTACCAACTTCAGCCTTGGAAGTGAGGGTCTTCCTATTGTTAGTCCATTGTATGACATAGAAGGAGATGATGTGCCACCTTTCGGACCGTCATGCTACCAGGACCCAGAAAAAAAATCAGCAACTTCAAAGCCCCCTTACTCCTTTAGTCTTCTCATTTATATGGCTATTGAACACTCTCCAAATAAATGTTTGCCCGTCAAAGAAATTTATAGCTGGATTCTGGACCGCTTCCCATATTTTGCTACTGCGCCAACAGGCTGGAAGAATTCTGTTCGTCATAATCTGTCCCTGAATAAATGTTTTCAGAAAGTGGAAAGAAGCCATGGCAAGGTCAGTGTTTATGAACATTGCTATATTTGGTGAGGTGGGGGCATATAGCCATGGAGCACTGAAAATATGGGGAAGTCAGGGGAGTTAATAGTAGTTAAGTCAGATGACTTCAGTTTGATTTTATGTTAATTCATCATTTGCTTTCATTTCAGATGTTTCAAAATTTCTTAAGTGTTGATATAAATCTAACAATTATGTTTAGTCTACTCTAGGTACATACATTAATCTTTCTAATATCCTAATTTTCTATTCTGAGTTTCTGTAGTGTTCCTAAAGGTATTTCAATATATTATTCTTATTTATTCAGTCTGACAATCTCTGATTTATAATTGGAGTGTAGACCATTTACATTAATGTAATTAATATGGTTGTGTTTAAACCTATCACCTTGCTATTTTTTTTTCCTATTTGCTCTATCTGTTCTTTTTCCTTTTTTTCTGCTTTTCCTGCCTTCTTTTGGATTCAGTAATTTTTATGATTCAATATTATCTCTACTGTTGACTTGTTAGCTATAGGTCTTTAGTTTTTTCTTTTAAATGGTTGATATGAAGTTTTCATATACATCTTTAATTTATCCCAGTCTACCTTCAAATGATATTATACTATTCACATATATTGTAATAATCATACCATAGTATGTTTTTTTCCCTCCATCCTTTCTGCTATCATTGCCATACATTTTACTTCTACACGTATTACAAACCCCATGATACATTGTTGTTACATTTGCTTCGAGCAACTAATTGAATCTTTTAAAGAGATTAAAATAAAAAATAACCATTTTTACCATTTCTGGTGTTCTTCATTCCTTTGTGTAGATCAAGGGTTGGCAAACTATAGTCTGCAGGCCAAATGTAGCCCACCTGCTTTTGTAAATAAAGTTTTGTTGGAACACAACCATATCCATTTGTTTTGCATATTGTCTTTGGCTCCTTTGGTGCTACCATAGCAAAGTTAAGTAGTAGCAACAGAGACCTTATGACCTGCAAAACCTAAAATATTTATTATCTGGCCATTTAGGGAAAATGTTTGCTGACCCCTGATGCCCTATGTGGTGTCAGTTCCTTCTGCTTGGACAAGTTTATTTAACATTTCTTAGAGTGCAGGTCTGCTGGCAACGGATTTTTTAAGCTGTTTTCAGGGAAAAAGGTATAGGTTTTTTTCTTTCAGTACTTAAAATATGTTTTTAGCTGTTTAGGGGAGAGGTTGGCAGGTCATTCTTTCAGCACTTTCAGGATGTTGCTGTGTTGTCTTCTGGCTTGAAGAGTTTCTGCTGAGCCCTCATTCTTACCTTTGTTCCTCTGTATCTCATTCTTTTTTAAACTGTCTTAAAGATTTTCTCTTTACCAATGCTTTTCAGCAGTTCAACTATGATGGGCCTCAGTGTGTTTTTCTTTATATTCATCCTGCTTTGGCTTTTCAGAGGTTCTTGGATCTGTGGTTTGTTGTCTTTCATTAGTTATCTTTTCAAATATTACTTCTGCCTCATTCTCTCTCCTACTTCTGTGACTCCAAGTAAAAATATGTTGGACCATTTGCTATTGTCCCACCTCTTGAGCGCTCTGTCTCTCTCCCTACTCTTTTTCCTCTTTGTTTCGGTTTGAATAATTTCTGTTGACCTTTCTTAAGGTTCATTTTTTTTCTCTGCTATGTTCATTCTGCTGGTAAGCCCAATAAACGACTTCATCACATTTTTCATTTCTAGCATTTTCTTTTTTTTAATAGTTTCCATCTCTCTGCTAAAATTCCCCCCTAGATCCTTTAACATATTAATCGTAGCTATTTTAAAGTGTCTGTGCGATAGTTTTCAGCGTTCGGTCCATTTGTAGGTCTGTTTTTGTTGACTGTTTTATTTCATGTGTTTGTGTGAATTTTGTAATTTTGGATTGAATGTCAGACATTGTAAAAGAATAGTAAAGTCTGAGTTAAGTATTTTTCACCCAGAAATTGGCATGCCTCTTTTTCTGTCAGTTGTTAGTGTGGACAAGTATGGATTAATCTAGTTAGTAATTGAACTTGGTTTGGGTTTTGTAGTTGCCATAGTTACGTCAGTGCACTGCAAGCTGCAAATTCCTGCAAAGATGAACTGCCACTATTTGTGCTTAATGTGAGGCCTGAAGTGTTAGATGATTTTTCTCAGCACTCTTGCTCCATTCGGCTTGTGCCACAGTTGGGGCAGGCGGAGAGTAGGGTCTCTGTCTGGTCTTGCCTCTCTCACAGCAGTAGATTTCTGTTGCTTATTACTTTATGCAAGGCTCCCTTGGGGTGGGGTGTGTTTCTCTTGCTTGAATCCTAAGTAGGTTTTGTAGGCTTGTGCCTCAGAGGTGTGGCTTTCCCTGCCTTCCCTAGGGACAGTCGCCACCTTTTACTCAGTGCAGAGTCTAGAGCTACACTCTTCAATAGCCAAATATCCACATGTGGCTAGTGGCTAGTGTATTGGACAACACAGACAGAGAATATTTCTGTCATCATTGAAGGTTCTACTGGACAGCATTGCTCTAGAGCTCAGGCCAATTTCCTGCCCCTTCCCATCCTGGTGGGTGAACTCTGCCTAGTTTCAGTGGAAGGTGTTGAGTATAGGTGAGTGACCAACCCCTTTCCCAGTGGCAGCAGATCTCTGCTTTGTATCATTGGAGGATCTGGACACGAGCAGATTTTCTGCCCCTTTCCTAGTGTCAGTGAAGTGTGAGAATAGCTGGATCCTTTGCCTGGAACTGGGGTGTTAAGGGTATTTGACCTCTCCCTCAGTGGCAGACAGATTTTGCTACTTATTGGAGAAGAGTCCCAGGTGCCGGCAGGTTTTATGCCTGTCCCCACAGCAACGGCTTGGGCTCATGCAGGGTTTGGAACACGGATGAGCATTACCTGGTATCCCTGCTCCAGCCCCAGACTTTGGAAGTTTCTGCAGATCACTCTGTATCTCCAAGAGCACCTCTCCTTAGGTCTGCTTTCCTGCCTACAGTCTTCTTCCTGAGCACCTGATAGAGTCCCATGGAAACGAGCTGGCTAGTGGGTGCAGACTCCTGCTTACGTCTGTGAATGCCAGGGATTCTAAACTGTCACGCTAGCTCACACTGGGCCTTTAAGAATTTGTTAAAATTCAAGCTGTTTTTTTTCCTCACTTTTTTTTTTTTTTTTTTTTTTAATGGCTGCCACTTCTTTCATGCTCTGCCAAAGGTGAATCAGATCCTGTGTTCTATCTTTCCTCAGAGAGCCTTGTCATGCTGTCGAATTCAGTTCATTTTAGTTGCCCTTTGGCCTTAGCTCGCTGATAGACTCATAAAAAATTATGATTTTGTAGATTACTTTTGAATTTTTCTTATTAGGGTAAGAGTGATATTCTCATCTGGCTTTCTATATCCTAAATGATAGCAGAACTCTCATGTTCTTACTTAAAGTAAAAGTTAAAAGAGCAAGTAATTATTTTTTTAGGTGACTGAAGGAAGGATCTTCTAGGAGAGTGTAAAAATGGTGTGGCGGAGGCATCTGACTTTCTCCTCTAACTTCACAAGGGGGAGGAGAATCATTATCAGCGTCAACAGCCCAAGGCTGATCCCTATGAGGCAGAGGTCAGACATGCCTCCTCTCTCCAGGCTTTTTACCAGTTCTGACACCAGCTGTCCCATGGCACTCTTTACTGCTCTGCTGGGTTCGATAATTCATTGCAGTAGCCACACAACTCACAGACAATACTTAACGATTATGGGGTTTATTAGGAAGTAACAGGTTACAATTCAGGATACAGGAGGCTCTCAGTGCAGGGATCTGGGTCCAAAGGACACACTCCACTCCTAGCTCTTCTTCTTGGTGGTAGTCAGGTTCTCCCCATTCTGCCTGTGGGATGGCTCATTTTAAGCCTAGCGGGATGGCAGAACTGACCAATCCCCTCATTAGGGTTTCATACACTTTATTTGTATAGTCTCACCCCCACAAGTGTGTCATGCACCTTATTTATTAGCAAGTTGTCCAATCTCCTTGGTGAACCACAAGCACCTTATTTGCGTAGTCCCACCTGATCATTGGGTGGGAGTTACAAGACCATGGTCAGAAAGGCCATATAAAAGCAATCCATCACACCGCAGAAAGTGCTGCTCAAACTTGAATGTACGTACTTATCACCTGGGGATCTTGTTGAAGTGCAGGTGCAGATTCAGCAAATCTAGGGTGGAGACTGACAGTTCTTATTTCTAACAGGCCCCCTGGGTGATGCTGACGCTGCTAGTCCACGGGCAGACCTTGAGTGGCAAGACATTAGGACACATCATCATCTTATAGCTAACTTATAGGATGTTGTATTAGTTATCTATTGCTTTGTAACAAATTACCCCTGAATTTATTGGCTTAAAGCAACAGCATTTATTATCTCAGTTTCTGTGGGTTAGGAACCTGGGCATGATGTTGTTCTGGGTCTCTCACAAAGCTACAATCAAAATGCTGGCCTGGGCCATAGTCATCATAAGGCTCAGCTATGGAAGGATCTGCTTCCAGGCTCGTTATATGATTACTGACAGAATTCACTTCCTCATGGTCTGTTGAATTGAGGGCCTTAGTTTTTTACTGTGTTAACTCCAGAGAGGTTGGCCTCCATTCTTTGCCATGTGGACCTCTTTTGAGGGCAGCTTACAACATGACAACGGGGCTCATCAGAGCAAGCAAGTGAAAAAATCCAGAGATAATGCAAGACAGATGTCCCACTATTTTGTAATCTAATCTTGGAAGTGATGTCCTATCATTTTTGCTATATTTTTTTCACTAGGTCCAGCTCACACTTGAGGAGGGCATTACAAAGTGGTGTGAATACCCAGTGGTGAGAATCATTAGGAGCCATTTTAGCATCTGCCTACCACAGTAGTACAAATTGTTTTTCTCTTTTTATTTTTACGTGAAATGGGATTACGAGTCGCTTTATTATCTAAGCTATTGTAAATATTAAGCCCTGTTGGAGTAAAAAAAAAAATTTTTCTCATCACTTATCATAAATGGAAACTACCATGAACAATGAAATAGGATTAGAAGTTTATGAATTAGGCATTTCTTTTACTGACTTTGTAAACTCAGTATACCTCACTTCTTAACATATGTAATGGGATCACCTGATTACTGGTTTCAAGATTGAGTAAAGGCATCTTTCTAAAGAAAGAACTTTTAAGTGATAAACCACTCAATAAGATTATTATAGTATTAGAAATTTTGGGTATTAAGTGCATCTTTTGATTTTATTTTTTAATTGTATCACTTAATTCTTTTCTGGTTTTAGACCTATTGCGTTTATACTTATGGTGAGACATAAAAGAGAAACTGTCTACTAGGCGTACAGAAATATGAGAGAGAAAGAGAGGTGGTATGGTGAGATTACAGCTCTTAAGTTTGGAAGTCATCAGCATCAATTCTGAGTATAATTGAGCTATTTGGAATGGAAACTTTACAGACACTGAAAATTAAGGGGAAAGGAGCATTGTTGGAATGGTGACAGAAGAATAAGTAGAGATGTAGAAGAATCTAGGAAAAGTCTGGTGTAATGGAAGTCAAGTAAGATAAATTTAAATGTGAATGGGCAACAGTGTCAAATGGTACAGAAAGCTTGAAAATGATTGGCTAAGAGGAAGTCATTGGGACAAGTAACAAACAAAAGATTAGAATTCAAAATCATATAAGTAATGGTATACTAGTAAATGCTTAAAAACTGGCTGGGGTGCAGAGGGGTGGAAGAGTATAGCTTTTGAAGATTTTTATGATATAAATACTCCCATCATGGCCAATTTCAAGTTATCATGTCACTGAATGTGAAATTGACAAGAGATGTTTACAAACAGGAGCACACCACTGTTCATAAGGAACTCCTATAATTCAACAAGAAAAGGAAACCTAATAGGAAAGTGGACAAGAATATGAACAAACAACTCATAGAGGAGGAAATACAAATTGTTAATAAACATATGCAAAGACGTTGATGTTCATACCCACTAGTAATCAGGGACACAGAAAGTGAAAGAAAAAGCTAAATAGTTTTTACCCATTAGAATTCAAAAAATTAAAATATTTGATAATATTAAATTAGACGAGATGGGGAATTACTAGTAGTTTTACACCATTGATAGGAGTGTAAGTTAATATGACCATTCTTTTATTTACGTATATATAATTTTATTTTGTTGTTGAGAATATACACAGCAAAACATACACCAATTCAACAGTTTCTACATGTACCATTTAGTGATATTGATTACATTCTTCTAGTTGTGTATCCATTCTAACTCTCCTTTTCTGAGTTGTCCCTCCTCCATTAACATAAATTCACTGCTCCCTAAGGTTCCTATCTAATCGTTTAAGTTGTTGTTATCATTTTGATCCCATATAGATAGTTCTGAAAAGAGCATAATGCTCAAGGCAGATATTCTTTGCTAGTTAAGCTCAACTGTTTGGTTTTAAGAAGACGTCAGGGGATATTTTTGGTTTAAGGTTGAAAGATTATCTCAGGGCAGTAGTTTCAGGTGTTCATCCAGCCTTCATGGCTCCAGGAAGTCTGGAGTCCATGAGAATTTGAAATTCTATTCTGTATTTTCCCCCTTTTCATCAGGATTCCTTTATGGAATGTTTGACCAAAATGTTCAGTAATGGTAGCCGGGCACCATCCAGTCCTTCTAGTCTCATGGCAAAGGAGGCAGTTGTTCATGGAGGCAGCTAGCCACACATTGCACATCCTTCTCTTGTTCCTGGCTCTCCTTCTTCCTTTGTTGTTCCAGGCGAATAGAAACCAATTATTGTACCTTGGATGGCCACTTGCAAGCTTTTAAGACCCCAGGCACTACTCACCAAACTAGGATGAAAAACAAGCTTTATGAGCTATATTATGCCAATTGACCAAGTTTTCTCACTAGACTGTGGTCCTAAGCCTTCACACCCAGAAAACCAATCCTATGAGGTGTTTGGTTATGTCTAAGAAGTATCTGTAACTGTGCCCCCTATGTGCTTTATTATATATATGAATATATATGTATGCACATACATATATGCATATACATATGCATACACTTATATGTGCACACATATACATACCGATACTCATGTGGTTTGGACATGTTATTAGGAGGGACCAGTCAGTCCCTAGAGAAGGACATCATGCTTGGTAAAATAGAGAGTTAGGAGAAGAGAGCAAGACCCTTGATGAAATGGATTGGCACAGTGGCTGCAGTGATGGGCTCAGGGTGGCACAGGACCTGGCAGTGTTTTTGTTCTGTTGTACATAGGGTCACTGTGAGTTGGAACTGACTTCACGGCACCTAACAACATTGCGCATATATGCTTACATTCATACATATATACCTGCATATACATTTTTGGTTGTTGCTGTTGCAATTGAAAAATTATATATGCCACAGCAGTTACCAAAAGGTCCTTTTTTCTTGTGTACATCTTAATGACATTATTTAACTTGGTTAAGCTGTACGCACTTCACCCACATTCGGTGTTACATTTCCCATCACCAAAAATAACAAATGTCTGCTATCTAGAGAGTGTCCCCCCGCTTATCCCTGGTAACCACCAATGAACATTGGTCCCTGTATATATATCCTTTCTTGTTTTTTTATAAAAGTGAAGTCATACAATATTTGTCCTTTTGTGATTGACTGACTTAACTCAGCATGATGTCTTCCAGATTTATTCACGTTATGTTTCAAGCACTCATCATTCTTTATGGCTGAGTAGTATTCCATTGCATGTATGTACCACATTTTGTTTATCCACTCATTTATTGATGGACACACTTAGGTTGTTTCCATCTTTTTGCTATTGTGAATAGTGCTGCAGTGAACATAGGTGCGCATATGTCTGTTCGTGTCTCTTCTATTAGATCTCTAAGGTGTATACCTAGAAGTGGAATTGCTGGATCATAAGGCAGTTCTGTTTGTAGTTTTTTGAGGAAGCACCATCCTGTTTTCCATAGTGGTTGTGCCATTTTACAATCCCACCAGCAGGGGATAAGGGTTCCAGTCTCCCCACATCCCACCAACATTTGTTGTTTTCTGTTTTATCAGTGCCATTTTAGCAGGGGTGAGATGAGATCTCATTGTAGTTTTGATTTGCACCTGGTGGTGTAGTGGTTAAGAGCTACAGCGGCTAACCGAAAGGTCGGCAGTTCGAATCCACCAGGCACCCCTTGGAAACTCTATGGGGCAGTTCTACTGTGTCCTATAGGGTCGGTATGAGTTGGAATCGACTTGACAGCAACAGGTTTGGTTTTAATGGCTAATGATCACAAACATCTCTTTGTGTGTTTGTTGGCTGCTTGAATGCCCTCTTTGGCAATTGTCTGTTTATTCATGTCCTTTGCCCATTTTTTAATTGGGTTGTTTGCTTTTTTGTTGTTGAGTTGTTGAAGTTTAATGGCTAACATTTTGTTGACATTTTACCATGCAGGGCCATCTTGTACAACCTGCAGGCTGTTCACTGCACAATTCCAGGTTGTACTGTTCTTGCAGACAGTGGTGGGAATGGTGTGTCCTGGAGTCATGCAGTCCCATGGGCCTGTGCCAGGCACTGTGCAGAACACTTTGCTTCTTCTGATTTAAACCATGTTTCAATTCTGTGAAGTAGATACTATTATTATCCCTACTTTACGAACGTGGGCACAATGGCACAGGCAGATAGAGATTAGTTAACTTTCCCAAGGTCACACAGCAGGTAAGTGGTGGAGCTGGAGATAAGAACCCAGGCAGTCTGCCCCGAGAGTATGGCCCCTAGACACCCTTTTAGCTCAGTGGTGAAGTCATTTCCGAGGTTCACCGTTCAGCCGGGGAGTGGACAGCCCCTTAAAACCAAATGGGACTAACGAGGCACAGCAGTCCAGGGACAAGGGCCAGAAGGGGACAGGAAAGCTGGTGATAAGGAACCCAAGGTTGAGTAGGGATAGTGCTGATGTGTTGTGAGGTTGTTAACCATTGTCATAGGGCAACATGTGTACTAACTGTTAAATGAGAAACTATTTTGTTCTGTAAGCCTTCATCTAAAGTGAGAATAGCAGCACAATTGGAAGAGCGTAGTCGATGTCACTGAACTGTGCATGTAGAAATTTCTGAAATGGTGTATGTTTGGCTATGTATATTTTCACCAAAAAAAGAAAAAAAAGGTTGAGAAGGGAGAGGGGTGACATGTTGTGGGGTTGTTAACCAATGTCATAAAACAATACATATACTACTGTTTCATGAGAAACTATTTGTTCTGCAAGCCTTCACCTGAAGGCTTAAAAACAGAAGAACCCAGGCAGTCTGGCTTCTGGGCCTTTAATGCGTGCATACCAAACTCACCTCAACTTTTACATTGTATTCTGAAGGTTTTAGTGGTTTTTTTCTCCACACATTTATTAACAACCTTTCATCACTGGTTGTACGTGTCTAAAAATTTCAAGTCTTAATTCTTGTATCATTTATTCTAGGTTAATGGAAAAGGTTCTTTATGGTGCGTTGATCCAGAATATAAACCCAATCTTATGCAGGCACTGAAGAAGCAACCCTTTTCCTCAGCATTAACATTTTACACCCCTCCTGCCTCTCCACAAAGGTAAGGGATCGCCCGTAGACATGTCAGGTGGTGATTTATAAGCATCATTGTGTGAAATGGAGAAACTTAAACATGGAGGTCTTTGTTTATTTTTATTTTATGGAGAAGTATTTATGGATAAGACATTAGCCTAAGGCATTTTTACTTATAGTCTACCTGTGTTTCTAGAACACAATTAGGAAATTAAGTAGGTGAGAACGTAAATTCTGTAAGATGTAGTCAGTACTGAAGATATTATACTTGAAGTTTAAAGAAAGTTGTAATATGATTTTAGTTACAAAAAAGTTAAATTATTTTAATTGCCTACAGTACTAGTGCAGACCTAAAGATACAGGAAATTAAAAGAATATTAAATTTAAATATGATGATTAACAGTTTTTGTCATTGTAATATTTATTATATAATGTATATATATTTAGATTTTTTCTATTTTAAGTTTTTTCCTCTTTTATAGCACTTTCAGTATTTAAAAATTATATCCAAGTCTCATTTTTAAATGTTTTACAAGTGTAATAACACTTAGAAGGTTTTGTTTGTTTGTTTTGCTTTGTTATTGCAAATAAACGTAATACATTTCCTTCTGTTTTGTTTTCAAACCCTCTGACTCCTGTTGATCCTACAGCTGTCTCATTTTAAGTCAAACCTGCAAATGATGTGAGCGCCTTAAATCTGATTTTGTTTCCTTTCTCTAAAGAAGCCTTCAGAATCTATTTTAAAATTCTATTATGTGTATTTGAGTTGAAAGCACCAGATACTGTTACGATACTTTTACGGGTAGTCTATAATGGTTAATTTGTTTTTTGAAGAAATTTTTAAACTTTTTAATAAAATACTAAGTAGAAATTTTCAATCTGAAGTCTTAAAATATTATTAGATAACTTGTAGAGTAGTATTTGTAGCTAAACTATAGTAAAAACTAGTAATGCTAAAATTGAAATGTCAGTAATATATACACTCTGAGATTTTAAGCTCATTCACCATATTTGAAGATTAGAAGGATCATTGTAACAGAACTACTGAGTAGTAGTTTATCCTTATGAAATGAAACCTAGAAAAGAAGTTATCAGAGTTTATATCGTTGTTGTTTGGGAGTTGATATCTTCTTTTTAGTTAATGTTGGTGCTTATGAGGTGGTCCAGTTAAAGAAATAATAATTTAGAAATTAAAAGAAAGTTCTGTTGATGGTTACTTAGGTGTTTTGTTTAGCTCTGATATTTTATTAAAGATGAAATGAGAGAATTGTCACACGTTTTGTAAAGCATCACATGTGCTTTCCTGCGCCTTTGATAGTTGGCACGGTCATGTTTAGATCTTTTAGCCTCACCAAGTTTAGATGATAAATAAAGGTAATTTTGTGGCATAAAGAGAAAAAAGGTAGATAAAACATGATAGCATAAAAGTTAAAATCTTTGACTTTCAAACATTACCTTAATGTGAAATGAAACGTTTTCTCCTCTTTGTTCTTTGGCAAAATAACAGTCCCATCTGCCATACCTTTGTGTAGCCTTCTTCATGTTATAATTTGTAAGTGTGAGGAAGAGTATGAGGTACAGTGTATGTCAAACTGAGTATGAACTAGACTTAATTAACAAGTTTTTTTATAATACTATCACAAATTCCAAAGAAAAGAGATAGTTTTCCATAACAGATTTTAATTTTTGGAATCAAAAACAAAACAGAATGCTGGTTTCTTTCCATGAATGTAGAAGGTTCAATTTGATATTGGTATTTATTCAGGAATTTATCTGTCTGGCATCATTACCATCCAGTCTCCCTTAGACATTTGTCTTGATAAATACTTTAATTTCTATGGTAACACCTGTACTAATACCACATCATACTTAAGCATTGGGTACAAAACTAAGTAACTTATGTATTATCTATTATTTCAGGCATTTTAAATGCATTCTTTCTGTTTAGTTATCACACTAGCCCTCTGTGAGAGATTTAATTATTCCTATTTTACGGATGAAGAAACTGCAAGATAAATTATTTTGCCTAAGATCACCCAAATAGTTATGAGTCAGTTTGGGATCTTTTCCACACTAAAGCCCATGATTTCTCTGCTTGGCGGACCCTTCCTAAACTGAGTAGTATTAGCAAAGAAAACAAGGCAAAAATAGTTTGTTTTCTATTGTACAAATTAGCTATCTGTGTTATAAATTCTGTAAAAAATGAAATAAAGATTTTTATAAGCACATTTGTCTTTTCTCTGTATTTTTCAGTGGCTCTTTATCACCTCACTACTTAACCTCTGTACTAAAGCAGAACCAAGTACGTACTCTCAAAGGTATGTGTAAAGATCAGTATTTCAAATCAGAAAAACTCAGGTCAAAATCCAGGATTTTTTTGTTTAATTTTTTTCTAATTATAAAAGCATTATATGTTCATTGTAGCAAATTTGAAAAATAAAAACATCTACAGAAGAAAAGGTAAAAGTCACTCTTGATTGTGTTGTTAACATTTTGATGTAGTTCCACTGGTCCTTTTTTATGCCATGTACGCATGGGGTTGCCATGAGTCAGGGACAAACGTGGTGGCAGCCAACAACAGCAACGTATGAGTAGACCACTGTCTGTCTGTTGGTCGTACTGTGGTGACTTGCAGCATACATGATGCTGGAAGCTGTGCCACCAGTATTTGAAATACTAGCAGGGTCACTTGTGGTAGACAGGTTTCAGCAGAGCTTCCAGACTAAGACGGACTAGAAAGAGAGACCTGGCAACCTAATTCCAAAACTTAGCCAGTGAAACGTCTGGATCACAACAGGACATTGTCCAATACAGTGCTGAACAATGAGACCCCTGTGATGGAACACACTACTCAGTAGCCACAACAGTGGACTCAAACGTTCCAAAGATTGTGAAGATGGTGTAGGACTGGGCAGTGTTTCATTCTGTTATACAGAAGGTCACCATGAGCCAGAGCTGACTCAGTGGCACCTAACAACAATAACAACAGATGAGTAGATACATTCGCGGAGCCCTCATGGTGCAGTGATTAAGAGCTCAGCTGCTAACCAAAAGGCCGGCATTTCGAATCCGCCAGCCACTCCTTGGAAACCGTATAGGCAGTTCTACTCTGTCCTGTAGGGTTGCTATGAGTCAGAATTGACTTGACAGCCATGGGTATATAGTGTTTAAGAAAAGAAAGAACCAATTTTAAAATGGCATAAAGCACATTATCAATGGGGGAAAAAAGCATTCTTAAGTGTTTTAAATGTGGCGATAAATGTGTCTTCAGTTTAGTTTTAATACCAAAACAGATTGGGTACTACAAATAAAAATTGTTTTAAATTCTATCTATAGAACTTTTATTACTCCTGGTCCAGGAAGTTCAAGGGTGTACTTTGGACAAAGCATTGATAATCAGGTGTTCTTGATTATCATAGTGTACAGGGTCATTTCTCTGATGCTTATTTTTAATGTTGAAAGTTTTTAGTTAATTAGCAAGGCATGGCAGGAAGCTACATAGAAATGTTTAAACCAGATAGATCAGATACAGGTAAAATCTTTTTGAAAAGTGTCTGGTTTCATAAAGTCAATTTCATGTAGGAGAGTTCAAATTAATTTGTCTGTAATAAATTCTCTACAAGAAATAAGTCTATTTAAGGAGCACTTCTTTTCTATCATTCTGCTGTTTAAATAAACAGAACCTTATTTTTTTTATCACTTTTAAAATTTTAGAAACTAAGAAATGTGTTCATGTAGCCTTCTTATGTCATCAGGATAAGCCACTTACCAGATTGCTTTATTTTAGGTATTTTGTTTCAGAAATATGACTCCTTGAGTTGTGCTGGAAGTTTACTAGAAAAAGTCACCATGCTACCTTTTTAAAAAAAATTTTAAAAAATATTTTATAGGTACTTCATTTATACGATTATAAATTTCTGTAATCGGCTCATCATTATAATAGATTTTAGTGTGAGAGTCATTTCCTCCCCACCACCTCCTATTTTTTTTGTAAAAATTGGAAACAAGGTAGACCATTTTTTATTAGAAGAAAATTACATCATGGAGCAGGAGTCTCTCGGTTAGGGCCTTTGCTTAATGCCATGCAAGTTGTGCCTGGCACAGGGACACCTGGCTGAGGCAGTGAGTGGGGTCTAAATCCAGCCCACACGCCATTCTCCCCGTTGTGTGTCCTGGTACGAAGAGTTGGCCTTGTTTCCAGTTCACACAGAGATACCATATGGGCTAGCTTCTGTACCTTTTTTCTTCAAAGACATATTAGAATTCTGAACTCTGTAAAATTGTAGGCAGGTTTCATTCTAAGGAACTGGAGAGGTCTTCGTTTTGCTGTCCTCTGGCAATGACATATGGGGCATCATTGATTTAAATCCTTTGAACTTGCTGTTCTTTCTGCCTGAAATCCTTTTCCCTCATATCTACATGGCTTCATTCTCAGGTCTTTGCTCACATATCACCTTCGCCATTAGACCTTCCCTGACTTCTGTACTTCCTTCTGTCCTTAAAACTTCGGCCGCCTCCCTAGCACTGTCTGTCTCCCTTCCTTGCTCAATTTTTCTCCCAGCGCTTATCACTGTCTGACAGACTGTGTTTTCATTATATCTTTGTCTTCTGAGAAGTTAGGGATTTTCCTGTTTTGTTTTCTGCTGTATTCCCAAAGCCTGGAACAATGTCAGGCTCATGGCAGGATGCTAAATTTATTAAACAAATAACAGGATACAGAATTTCTAATATATTCTGTAATTTTAGTAAGTATTAAGGGATGGCAGAGGAATAATTAGAGGCCTGGGTTCTGGTGGTTCAGATCCCACCTCCACCATTTCTAGATACCCCTCTTGTCTGTTTTCTCGTCTTTAAAGTAGAAATATTAAAAAATATCCACAGCCAAAAGTTGTGAGGATTTGATGAATTAATACAAGTGCTTAGAACATGTCAGGCTCACTGAAAGTACTCAGTGTTAGTTATTAATTTGGTGATGATCAGCTTAGCCTAAAGAAACTAACAGCCTAATTGGGAAGATATTAATGTAGACACTGTTATGTCAGGAGGTCACATTTTATTTGATGGAGATGAGCTATAGTATTTCATGCTGCCTTGTAGCAGCCGCCTTCTGATTTACTCAAGTCAGTAGCATTTCTTGCCTTTGGAGAGTTTACCATCCAGTTGGGAGAAAACAAGCCAGTCTCCATGGCTTTATTATCTACAATGACTTTAGAATTAGATACTGCAAATAAAATTGGAAACTCTGGGCTAATAAACATTTTCACCTTTGAGATAGGAATGGGAAGTAATCTAAAATTTATAAATGTTTTCTAACTTTTCCCTTACATTTTAGATTATACCATTTTACTTTTCTTAGCTCACACTTGGACCTAGATGGAGAAGAAAATCCAATATTAGTATCTAAGTAGATAGGAGAGCATAACCACCTTATCTGGAGTGGGATCTGCTGATTTTACCAGCCTTTTAAAGTCAGTTTTTCCTATCAAATATGCATTATTATGTTTGATCTCTTGAGTAGTGTATAGATCTGTGGTGCTCATAGGCTTGTGCATAATTATGACTAAAGGCATTACTAATGTTTTTTTGCCTATAAGAATTTTCATTTAGTGTTTGTAGAATCACATGACATAGACCAACCAATTATTTTTTTTGTCTTCTATAACTAGTATGTAATTAATGCAGTACTTTGTAACAGTAATATGCATAGGTAAGGATATTATTCAGGGTAAAAATGATAAAAAGTAGTAATGCCTTCGTGTACATTCTTAGCTAATTTAGCCTGTTTAAGGGTCGCTGGGGTCAGAATCAACTCGACGACAGTGAGTTTGGTTTTGAGTTTGGAAGGGCAAAACATTACTGAAATACAGTTCAGGTTTTTATTTTCCTTTTGAATAATTAAAGAAGAGAACTTTTACTGTCTCTAGTGCCTCTCCATTCTCCTTTATGCAATAATGTTCACAGAATTGCTCCATAACTTCAAGTGAACAAAAGCAGATCGTAAAATGATATCTATAACATCCATTTTTGTTTAATATATGTGTATGCTTTTATTTATTTACTTATTTATTTTTAAGTAGAAGAATATACACCAGAATCTTAATGTTGGTTTTGTCTTTGAATAGATGCAAATACATTTCATAGCCTTCTCCTTTATAAAAAACATTAATATGACCGCTGTTTTCCCTTTTCAGAATCTGATATTGATGCTGCCACTGCAATGATGCTTTTAAATACTTCTCTAGAACAAGGAATTTTAGAATGTAAGCAATCATGCTTTTCTTTTTAAAATACATTCTCTGAGTGCCTTTTCAAATATAATTTAGAAAACAAAACGTGCATTACAGAGTTCCTTCTTTTTCACTAAATTGTATTTTCATCTGAATAACTTAGTTTCTGTTCTATTTCCATTAATTTATGTGAGCAGTTGAGAGATTGAAGTTAATGCTGTGATACAACTTTTCACATTAAACAAGAAGTGGACAAATGAATAGCATACTTAGAAAAAATAAGCTTTAAGTTCTAAAAATAAATAGGAAAATATATTTATAACCTTAGAAAGCCTTCTTTAAGATACTAAATGTAAAATTCATAAAGGAAAAGATTGGTAAATTTAATTAAACATCAAAATTTTAAAATTCTGTACAATAAAAGACATCTTTAACAAACGTAATACAAGCAAAATACTGGGAGAACATATTTTTACCCTGTGTAACAAAGGATTAATATCCAGTATATATAAAAAAAGCATCCTGCAAGCACAGAATAAGAAAATGGTTCAGCAGAAGAATCAGCAAAGGATATGAATAGGTGGGTTCAAAAGAGTAAATGTACGTGGACAGTGCTCATGTCCAATTTCTCTACCAATCGGGGAAATGCAAAGTGAAACAACACTGAGGTACAGTTTTTTTGTCCTTCAGATTATCAGATTAAAATGATTAATGATATTAGGTGTTAAGTATTGGAACTGGGTATTGTCATACACTGTTGGTTATGAATTGGTACAACCACTTTTGAGGGCAATTTGAGAGTACCAATTATAACTTAAAATGTGTATATACTTTTACTTAGCAATTCTACTTCTTGATGTTTTTCTTAGAAAAAATATCTGCATATATGTGAGAGAAGAGGCATCTAGAAGGATTTTTATTGCAGCATTGGTGAAAAATTGGTAACAACGTAAATATCAACAGGGAAATGATTAGCTAAATAGTGGTACATTTATACTGAGGCATTCTGTGCAACAGTTCAAAATAATTATATTTTCCATGGAAAGGACATATAACGTACATATATTGTTAAGTGGTTTAAGAGAGATTTTCAAATGAATACCTACAGAATGATATGAACTACATAAAAAAGAAATAAACCACAAAATATTATTAATCTAAGGCACTTACTGCTCAGGTGTAATATCGTAGGTTTTTCTTTTTTTTTGTCAGACATCCGGTTTGTATTCAAAAGTCTCTGATGATCTCATAACTATTTTCTTTGCAGTTTGTGTGCTCAAATCAGGGTCCACATAAGTTCCAAGTATTGCAGCTGATTGATTTCTCATGTCTCACTCTCTCTTTTTTTTTAATATCATGGTTTCCAGATGGCTTGTTTTTGCATTTGACCTATTGATGGAAGTTGTATTTTCTTCAGGTGAGAAACCTCTTCCTCTTAAAACAGCACTGCAAAAAAAGAGGAGTTACAGCAATGCATTTAGCCATCCCGGTGCTGTGCGTTTACAAGAGAGTGACTCTCTAGCCACCAGCACTGATCCCAAGGAGGATCACAATTACAGCGCGAGCAGCATGGCCACGCAGCGCTGTGCATCCAGGTCCAGTGTGTCTTCCCTGTCTTCTGTGGATGAGCTGTATGAATTTATCCCAAAGAGTGGCCATGTGGGCAGTGACGGCAGCGAAGGGTTTCAGAGTGAGGAAGATACAGACGTTGATTATGAAGATGACCCTCTTGGAGACAGTGGCTATGCATCACAGGCCTGTGCAGATACCGCTGGGAAAGGACGGCCAGGCAAAAAGAGGAGGAAGCAGCCGTGTCCGGAAATTGATGAGGAGCTCAAAGAGGCAGCTGGGTCTCTGCTCCACCTCGCTGGAATTCGCACATGTCTGGGTTCCCTAATAAGTACTGTTAAGACACAAAATCAAAAGCAGCGGAAGAAATAGAAATCCTTATTAGTGTGAAATTATTTTGAAGTGTGGCAATACTCTTCTACTTTATTCTTTACAAGGGATTTCAAAGCCATAATGGACGTCTTTAGTTTCAGGGTGGGAGGGGTGCTGATTACTTATTTCCTTCAAAACATTAATGTTTTATTTTATTTTTTTATTTTTGTTAAATAATTGCTGTTAGGATCATGCCCAATCATAAATATATGATGTGAAGTTCTAAAAGGATAATTGTTGTGATAAGTGTCTCCAAGATTTGGAAATTTTTATAATGAAATACCCCACATCTATCTCAAAATTAGAGGAAAAATCTTTCCTTCTGCTAATATGTCAAAATGTAAGAATTTGCAACTTTGTTTTTTTTTTTTTCCATTTTCAGTCTGTAATTAACTGTAATTACTGATTTTGCTAAAAATTTTGCTGATGTCTTTCTCACATATTCCTCCCCTGACACAAGGATAAGATTTGGATGTTTTATTTTGTCTTAGTTTTTGTTTTTAATTTTTTTTTTTTTTTTGAGGCATGAACAAAGTCAAATATAAATTGGAAAAGATCCTAGATGTCTAGTAAGTTCCTTTTTGTTACATAGGTAGAGAATACAGGAAAGAGTTCAAAGATTTAGAAATTACAATTTTGTGGTATAATTTTCATCTGAGAACACTCCAATTCCTATTACAATGTTATCTGTGAATTTTTTTTACTTTGCAGACACGTCATAGCATTTATTGGGTCCCTTTGCTGTTTCCCAGAGTGCTTTGCAAACATTGCTTAAGTCTTAGTCGCTAGCTGTCTTCGTTGAGTAGAAACTACAATCCAAGGAGAAGATAGAGCCATAGAGTGTGTTATGGATTCACACCCATGTTGATACACTTTTGCAGTAAGAAGATCTTTCATTCGCTTGTTAAACGTTCTGAATTCTGAGAATCTTGTAATAGGAATGGAGTATAATCTAAAACAAACACTTAAATGCTTATTACTTTGTCGTCATTAAGGTAGGTCATTTAGGAAAAAACTTCTGTGCAAGCTTTGTATGAATTAAATTTGTATGTATACCTAACTACAAAGGATTTAACAAAACTAGAGAGAAAAATATCCTCATGGATTTTAAAATTTGTATAAAATGAAATCTTACACAATACACCCTTTTGGGGAGGCAGTGTACACCTATATGTGCCATTAATCCTTGCTAAAAGAGTTTATACTGCTGTTCCAAAAGTGCATCGACCATGGTGTTTTAAGTATTTGAAGAAATCTGCTTGTATGAGATGTTTTGTTCATAATGTCATTTGCATAGTTTTAACTATATTATTCAGAAAGAACAAAGGATGGTAGTACAATTGAACTTATTTGTCATATTTTTTTTTAGAATGTTTGAAAAAAGGTTTTTAAAAATTCAGTCTTAACTCATGCTACACTCTGTTTCATATACAATGACGTTTTTATTTTTCTGATAATTTCCTGTATCAGTATACACATACACAAACGTCACGCTCATGATGTTGGTTTGCAGCTTTCTGCTTTTCTAAGACGATAAAGCATTTTCTTGAGATTTTTTTTAAGCAACAAATACTTCTATTTTAACTTAAATTTTATTTGGGCAAAACTGTCAAACAAGAAACTTGATTAAAAAAAACAAATATCTTTTTCAGTTAACAAGACTTTAAGCCGGGGGAACGACAGTAAGGTCTCTGTTTTGTTTCCATGTTAGTTTTACTGACCCTAGATAGCCACGTTAATAGAACCAATGCTTTTGAAGTATAGTAATTTTGCAATTCATTGATAATGAAAAATAGTCCTTAAGCATGCAGGATGATGTGTTTGGACTTCGGTTCTTAATATATGTCCCATCTACTACAGAAAATGGCTAGCCCAAATTCACACCTTTTACTGTAGGCAGTAAATTTAACAATAAAGAAGTGCTTTTACCACAGTAGAGATAGTCAACATGTTATAAAAATCATTTTAATAACACAGTGTTTCAGCACACATTTATAAGCTGCTTACCATGGCCCTATGGATAGACCTTAGTAACAGTGTTTCAGTGATCTGGTTTCAGTTTATTTTGTTCTATGGAAATTCTGTGCCACCTGTGTTCTCCCTGGCTCCTGTCTATTAGACCATTACTCTTTATAAGCAAAGGAAAATGACCTGAGATGAAAATGGGGGAGAGTTGTTCTCAGTTGGCGCAGGCATCTTCAGAATTATTTTGTCTTAATGTAAGTAGCAGTAACTCTTTAAATGCCTTCATTTTCTCTCCCTGATTTGTACTCTTCCTACAGATAAAAACGTTTGAAGTTACGTTTATCACTAGCAAGAAGATAAACACTTGTGTGCTAAAAGCTAGCAGGGAGAAGTTCCAGGATATTTTGCACTTAATTTTTGCACAGAATTCAGTGCATAGCCTTCCATTTGCTAATATACCAAGGCAGTTATTTTCAAGGGAAGAAACCTTTTTAATTACACAGTCCTCATCTCCCCTATTGTGACTTCCGTAGAGATTATGATCCCATTGCTCAGGTGTGTTGACAGAGAAGCATGGCTAATAGCTACCCAGTTAAGGAGAGTCACTGCAAATCCTGTGGACTGGAAATTGTATTTCCAATAATAGTAACAAATTTTCGTATAATAAAAACGACTTGGCCACTCTGGAGAGGTCACATATATGGGGATGTCCTGACATATTTTAAAACTGTGGCTGAACATATAATTTTGCCTTACATCAAAATGTAAATTGTAAAAAAAAAAAAAAAATTTGTGTTGCAACCAATTCCAGTTCATAGCTGATCCCTGGTAAAGTTTTGACTCAGCACAATTAATTTTCATCTTCCAGTTCCCAAACAGAGTCAGTGTTTTGTTTTGTTTTTTTGAAATTCATTTGTGCAATATATTACTAAATTAGTTAATATTTCACTTTTCCAATTTAGAGAAAGCAGATTACCTGTCTTCGTGAAGAAGCTAACCGTGGGTGGATCACCTGCTTTTTCCACGTTTGGGCCTTTCCTGCCCTCCTTATGGCTAGCATGCCTTCTGTTAACTTAGGTTCCTTTGTATGTTGTCAAGTTTCATATATATAAATGTCCCCCCACCTTTGTTTTTTTTTTAACTTTCTGAGGCATTATGTAAAGGGTTCATACTAGATGGTCAATTAAATATCTGTCAGCATGAATTCAAAGCTAGAGAAAGTGTTAAGGAGGGAATACCTGTGTCTTGGTGGACCAGGAGGCCTTTCCCAGCAATTTAAGCAACAGATGTGAATACTTCACAAAGCGGTAAAGACTATTGTCTTAAATACTACGGTAACTTAACAGCAGTTTGTGGAGACCATAGCATTTAATTATGAGACTTTTGAGGCTTTCTGGTTTACACGTATTTTATAGTTCTTCCTTAATTTGAAATGTGTAAGCTTTGATTAAAACAAAGTTTACTTCAATATGTTAATGATGTAGTCAAAATATTTATTGAAAGGCAAAGTAGAGTATTTTAACGTCACACCTGCCATTTTTTTTCTTAAAGCACATTCTTTGCATCTGACTGCCAGTGCTGTTGTCAAACTTTGTGTTAAATTGTTGTACATTTCTTATTAAACTACGTGCTTAATTTTAAAGTGTTATGTTGCCATCATACAGTGTATGAAAATGTATAATTGCCAATCCATTGTAACTATTATTTATTTTTAAATGAACGTATAAGAATGCTTTCTGTCTTAAGCAGTTCTGAGATATTCAACTGTTTCCCTGCCCTCTTTTCTGATGTAGCATAACGATTTTTCTGAGTTTGAGTTATAACTGCCAGTAGATGACCAGTCACAAGTGAACCACTTCTCAGCTGCCAGTCCTTTGCTCATATTAAAAACAACTTAAAAATGTTTAGTTTTTGTATCTAATCTGGTTATTAAAATGTTTATAAAGTTTATTTTTACCAAAGAGATGCAATTCATTATGATAAAGTATTACAAAATAAACTTTGTTTTATAACATTTTTGTGCTGTTTATTTGTGGGGAGGGGTAAAGTAGACGTAGGCGGCTCATGGTTCTCTGTACATACACACGCACACACCTTTGCAGTTGTACAGAATTGGAGTCATGCAGATGAAAATACATGTTTCAATTTCAGAATTTAAAATATCTTCTATTTTTGAAAGTGTTGTTTTTCCTGGTTTCTGTATGTCATTTTAATCACTGAAAAACATAGTATTAATTAAATGATTCTCTTCCTAAAGTTGAGCTGTTTTTCCTATTCATGTATTTAAAAGATAACCTGTGTGTGTGTGAGATATTTTGAAATATAACAAAAATTGAGTAGGATATAAAATTATTAAGATTATTTCTAAGTGCACTAATGTTACTTTTAATATACCAGTAGTATCACTGTTTGAAAATTGGGGTATCCAATATAAAAAGGAATCATCTACAACCAACACCTTTATCTTGTTTCCCCCCTTGAAGTGCTATGCTGGTAATTTAAATAGTATTTTCTACATAGAGTTCTTTCTTCAAGTTGAGTTACGTGAGTCAGCCATATTGATTAGAAACTACCACCACCCTCTCTATGCCCCCCCTCCTTCCAAGGCATCCCTCTGAAGTACAACAGTCACTTAAAAATTATAGCCATTTGGGAGCCATATATGTATTCCTTAAAAGAATTTTATTCTCACTTTTGCATTTATTGTTTTCTAGTTCATACTAGTTCTGAAGGGGAAAGAAAATATTTTTAGAACAATAACCTATTATTAAAATGTGGATTAAGAATGCATTCAGTCTTAAGAATTCCAGAACATAATGAATTTGATAGTTTTTAAAAATGAAATAAAGCCATCAAAAAATGTAGATTTAGATTTAAAATGCCAGTGTAGTTATGGTCCCTGAAATTTTAAATAAAGAGAAATGTTTAGAAGCTGTAGGTGAAAAAACAACCAGGAGCTAACTTTTGTGTATACAGAGAATTCAACGCTCTTAAACTGAAGGATAGTTTGTGTTCCAAAAGTTTATTTACAAATCTGTTGTTTGGAGAGGAGGGGTATTTTCCAGCAAACTTCAAGGCGAGCTATAAAAGCTTATTTAGCTCATAATGTAGTTGATAAACAACAATCCCTCCTTACCTGGAAGTGATTTGCACAAATTTTTTGTATAAGTAATTTACTTCCATTAGGGTTTTGCCTCAACCTCAAGATTCTGGCTCAAGTAAATACTGGTGTTGCGTTCCTCTTGAGAAAGTTTAATAAAAGGAAACTGGGAGTTGGACGGAAAAGAGATTGCAGAAAGTAATATTAGTTTAAGGGAGATCTAAGCTGAAACAAAATTGCTGTGTGCCAGCAGAAGGGAGTTGAGAATTCTAAGAAGAGACTGCAGCCAGATTAAAGCGCTGTGCAGTGTAAATTTAAGTTTATATGATAATCTTGTATATTGGAGAGGGGTTGACAAAAGGCTCATCCTTAGTGAACTGAGCATCTATTCACTCAAGTATTTGAGTGCCTAGTCCCAAACACAAAAATAGACAATCCCTGTCTTAAAAATGTAAATTCAATAAATGCCGTGAAAGTAAACAATAGCAGGCTATGAGATCAAGTGACAGGTGGCATAACAGCTAGCTGCTCAGCTTCTAACCAAAATGTTGGTGATTTGAACCCACTCAGCAGCTCTGTGGGAGAAAGCTGATGATCTGCTTCGGTAAAGATTAAAGCCTAGAAAACCCTATGGGAGGCAGTTCTACTCTGTCACATGGGGTCACTATGAGTTGAAAATCAACTTGATAGCACCTAACAACACCCTGAAGATGTGATTTAAGCTCAGATTTGAAAGAAGCAGAGGTGTTACTTTGGGAATGAAAGCATGAAAAATTGTTCTGGTCAGTGGTAACTATTCTCTAAGATCCCTGTGATAGGAGAAAATGAGACTTTCAGGGAACTATGCCAGTATGGCTACAAAGCAAAGGGGCTAAGGCCAGATCTTGCAAAGCCGTATGTTGCTGCTATTGTTTGGTGCTGTTGAGTGGTTCTGACTCATAGTGACCTTATGTACAGCAGAGCGAAACACTGGGCGGTCCTGCGCCATCACAATCTTTATGCTTGAGCCCATTGTTAGAGCCACTGTGTCAGCCCATCTTGTTGAGGGTCTTCCTCTTTTTCTCTGACAATCTACCAAGCATGATGTCCTTCTCCAGGGACTGGTTCTTCCTGATAACATGTCCAAAGTATGTGAGACAAAGTTTCACCATCCTTGCTTCTAAAGAGCATTCTGGCTGTACTTGTTCCAAGACTGATTTGTTCGTTCTTCTTGCAGTCCACTGGTATATTCAATATTCTTTGCCAACACCATACTTCAAAGGCATCATTTCTTCTTTGGTCTTCCTTATTCATTGTCCAGCTTTCACATGCATATAAGGCGATTGAAAATACCATGGCTTGGGTCAGGCACACCTTAGTCTCAAAGTGACATCTTTGCTTTTCAACACTTCTTTTACAGCAGATTTGCCCAATGCAATACATCGTTCAATTTCTTGATTGCTGCTCCATGGGCATTGATTGTGGATCCAAGTAAAATGAAATCCTTGACAACTTCAATCCTTTCTCCGTTTATCATGATGTTGCTTATTGGTTTAGTTGTGAGGATTTTTGTTTTCTTTATGTTGAGGTATGTTGAGGTATAATCCATACTGAAGGCTGTGTTCTTTGATCTTCATCAGTAAGTGCTTCAAATCCTCTTCACTTTCAGCAAGCAAGGTTGTGTCATCCGCATATCGCAGGTTGTTAATGCGTCTTCCTCCAATCCTGATGCCACATTCTTCTTCATATAGTCCAGCTTCTCGGAAACTTTTTTTTTTAAAATAATATTTTATTGTGCTTTTGATGAAGGTTTACACAGTAGTTTAGGTTCCCGTTCAACAATTTCTATGCAAATTGTTCAGTGACATTGGTTATATTCTTCACAATGCAGGAACATTCTCATTATTTCTGTTCTGGTTGTTCTATTTCCATTAATCTAGTTTCTCTGCCCCCTTATATTCTCATCTTTCTTTTAAAGTAATTGTCGACCCTTTAGTCTCATATAGGTGATTTTTTAAAGGAGCACAGTACTTATGGGTGATATACATTATTTTGTGAGCCAATCTGTTATTTAACTACAAGGTAACCTCGGCTTAATTTTGCTTCAAGGTTTGAAGAGTATCTCAGGGCAATATTCTCTGGGGGGTGCTCCAGTCTCAAATCAGTCCAGTATGTCTGTTTTTTTGTTTGTTTTTTTAGGAATTTGAGGTTCTGTTCCACATTTTTCTCCCATTCGATCAGGGTCCATCTATTATGGCCCTGATTAGAACGGTCGGTAGTGATAGCAGGGTACTGTCTAGGGGTTCTAGTCTCAGGGTAGGTGAGGCTGTGGTTTATGTAGACTATATGTCCTGTGGACTAGTTTCTTCACTGAGTCTTTGGTTTCCTTATTTCTCTTTGAAACTAAATCTTAATCAAATTACAGTACTATCAATTCTACAACACCATAATTTGGTTCACCCACTTACCGATCCTTCAAGTAGCTGCCACCCAGGAAACATTTTAAGAACCCAGATGCTTGGTATCTTTCTAGCCTGATGAGCAAGAACCAAGTCAGCAACATAACTTGCCCTGCACATCTATTAAGATTTCATTTAAAAGAACTCCCACCTACCTTCTGCCTTCCCTTGCACATCAATGTGAACTCTTAGAGGAAATTATATATAAAATTTTACATATATACATATAATATTAAGGAAAATACATTATAAAGTTTCTAAATGAAAGTATTTG